TAATAAGGCTGAAAAAACGAGAGTTATCGGAGTGATCCTGGCTGACAATAAGTAATGATATCTTGAGGGCGACTCACGAGTCTTTTGTGAATCCGACGGATCCAGAACATGAGAATGGACGGAAAGAAATTGCTTTAATCCGTGTCAGTACTGCTCTTTTTTTTTTTTTTTTTAAGTTTTTGAATGGGGAGCATACCTTCTTATCCTCCTTAGTCAATTTCAACTCTGAAGGTAGTTCTCTGACCAGTAGGACATTCTTCGTACTGGCTTCATGGACGGCTTTGTATCTTGCCGAACGCAGTGCATTAATTTCGTCCACTCGGTCACAGAGTGCGTTGTAGTGGACCAGGATTGCCCGTCTAATATCACCAGCAACAGAAACGGGAACGGGCTTGTTGGCCAATGACTTGATCTCCTCTGCAGACCGCTTACGCTCAAGATTCTTATGGACCTGAAGAGTACCGCGTGAGGTTACCCCTAAAAAAATGTTTGCTACCAAACCATCTTCATAGAGCACGTCCATACGGTATTCACCATGGTTGTGATCGGAATCCAGTTCCACAAACTGCAGTGACGGAGAAATCCCTGTAGAAGTCATGCGGTAAAGCGGTGGTTCAACTGTGGCAACACCAGTAATATAACCGTCAAGTTGGTATGAATCAAGCTCCGTGAGTTCCTTGAAGCGTTGTTGGACTTCTTGGTCCAGACCCAAGCCCCGGAAATCGATCTTCTCAGATGAAACCATGTCTACTCCCGGGCGGCTCAGCTCAGCCATAGTGAACGCCGTTATCCTAGTAGAGCATCGAGAAGGTGAAGGCAGACGGAGAGTCTAGGTAGTTATCTTTAGAGAGAGTGACCGGAGAAAGTCGAGCAGGGAAGGTCAAGTCGAGGTCGGCACAGCGACAAGAAAGCCCAGGGTGAAGGAGAAGGCAAGGCCGCTGAAGAAAGCCAGGTTAGGGAACGAGGGCCGACGAAGAGAATCAGGTCGCGGAAGGCCAAATCCGAGAAGGTCAGGTCGAGGAAGAATCCCAGGTAGAAGAAGGTCAGGTTAAGGCGACTTGAAGTTGTGTCGATGATGGAAATGCCGGTCGACGAGAAAGGCCGAAAAGACGAAGGACGCCAGGACAAGATCGAGCGTCAAGCTGATGAAGAGGCCTAGGCCGACGAAGTAGTAAAGGTTAGGGAACAAATTCAAGCTGACGAGAAGGTTGGGTTGACAAAGAAGGCTAGCTCGACGAAGAAGGTCGAGTGGAAGAGAAAGGCCAAGAAGGCCTTCTGACAAACGAAGAGAGGTGAAGTGAAGAGCCAACCCCGGCCAGGAAAGAAGGCAACAGCGCAAGCACCCAAAAGAATCCCACAAGAGCAGCTGCAGGAGCACAAACCCCCACACAAACACAAGCAAGTAAAGCGCAAAAGCCGATCAAAGCCCAACCTAAAAGCCTAGATACAAACCACAACACAACACAACTAACTCACACTCGCTATCTGGAAACCGCAAAAACTAGATACATAAAGACCATAACAAAGAAAAAAGACATCAGTGTTGGGTATCGACAACTCTACCCTCATTACAGTGCTTGCTTGCTCGCTCGCTCAAACAAACAAGAGAACAGATAAACAACCAAACAATCAATCAGTCAATCAGTCATAACCTCGTGTCCTATTAGCCACCATCATCATCAATCATCCATCAATCATCCAACAATCATAACATCATCACCCCTCTCCCCTCCCCACACCAACCAACAAACCAAACCAAACCGACCTACTGTCCCCCCGACGACCGTCTCCTCCGCCACTGGTTCCTACCCTCCACCTCCGCCGGATCATCCTGCACCCAGCTCAACCAAGCCCCGACCCTGTTATTCCCCGGCCCAGTACGGCGCCCGCTGCCATCGCCCTCAAACAAGCCCGCCATAACCGAGGCTTCGGCCTCTGGCGCCGCCGGCGCAGCAGGAGCAGGAGCAGGAGCAGGCGCAGGCGCACGGGCAGCAGCAGCACCGCTCCCGCTCTCGCCTCCACTACCACCGGCAGCAGAAGCCGCAGCACGCGCATGTCCGCGCTCGCGCTCCCTCGCGCGCGCGCGCGCACGCCGCGGCCTAGCCGGTTGCGCCGGCACCGCGAAATCGTTCATGTGGTGCCCGGCCGCGTTGCCGATGCCCAGGACCTCGACCTCGATTTCGGGGGAGTGTTCTCTAGGCGGCGGGGGTGGGGGCTGATGGGCACGGGAGCGGCGTCTGCGCGCCATGGCTTCGTTGGCCGTGTCGACGAGGAGTTGGCGCTGGAGGCGGCGCGCGAGGCGCTCGTCTTCGTCGTCTTCGGCGGGTGCGGGTGCAGGTGCTGCCGGCGGGGGCTGTGGCGTGCGGGCGCGCAGGCCGGTTCTCAGGTCGTTTTGGTAGACGAGGTGATTCCTGCGGACGGGTGGGGCGGGATACGCGTCGGGGAATGGCGCGATGATGATGTCTTCGGGGTCTTGGCCGCGCAGGACAGCAGCCGCGGGGCGGCGCGCCGCGTTGAAGGCTTCGAGGATGATGTTGCGGGCCTGGGGGACGCGCATCTCGAAGATGCGGTCGCCGTCGTCTACGTTGGCGTAGTTGAACCAGGGGCACTCGCACGTCTTCCATTGCAGGCCGCACAGCATGCAGAACTGCGCCGTGCAGCGGCATGTCATGTGGTTGCAGCCTTCCTTGAGCTCGACCATCGCCTTGCAGTTATAGCAGCGTTGCCAGCCGGCTTGCTTGGCCATGTCCGCGAAGCGTTGCGTCTCTTCGTCCTTCGGGCATTCTTTGTTGCCATGCCATTTGGCGTTGCAGAGCACGCAGACTTTGGTCTTGCAGCGCACGCATTTGCCGTATTTGCGGCCGACCGAGGGATCCATGTGCATGTGCGAGGGCTTGATCCATTCGCCGCAGCCTTTCGTGGGACAGTAGATCCGGTTCTTGGTGGTGTATTCTTGGTACTTTTTGTTCCAGATGATCTTGAACTTCGTGTCCAGCAGACGTTCCACGTGCTTGAGGGGGATGTGCGCGGAGCTGCAGCAGGTTGGTGGCATGTGTTGGGGATCCTTGACGGAAAGGACAAACTGGCGTTTGATGCAGGAATGACACATGTTGTGACCACAGGCTAGTTTCGGGCACCGGGACGCAGAAACCTCATCCATGCAGATGATGCAGTCATACCTGATAATGAAGGTTAGCTTTAGAGTTGACGGACTGAGATGGAGGCTCACTTCTTTTCCGGAGCTGGGGCCGGAGCCGGTACGTGGCGAAACAGGCCCATCAGTCCACTAGCTCTCCGCTCTTTGGAAGGTGATGTTGATGTAGTTGTCTTCACTGCTACTGAAGGTGCCTGATCTGGGGAACCGTGTGCTGAGTCCACTCGTTCAGGGCTCCGAGCTTTTACAGTGTTGCTTCTCCGCAAAGACGGCCGGGTCATCATGACCGGGCGTGACGAAGTGCGTACGGAGGCCGACCTGCTTTTCGTTAACAGAAATCCTGGCAAAGAGATCGACGTGACATACCTGCTCACTTTAGGAGCCTCCGCCTGACGAACAGAAGCGCTAGAAGCAACAACAGGCTCCCGCACCGGTTCCGCACGCGAAGGCCTCCTGGCATGACGAACCGACTCCGTCCTCCTTTGTGGTGCCTCCGGGGACGCTGCCGCCGTCCGACTCGTCCGCTGCGTCGCCGAGCGTGACGGCCTAACACTCTGCCGCGCGCTCACCGACGGCTGCCTTGAAGCTGTCCCCTCCCTGGCATTCCTCCCGTGGCCCCTGCTGTCCCTCTCTCGGTAGACATACACCACATTATCATCGGCATCGTCCTGCCTCCGGCTGCTGCTATGCTTTTCGCTACCATGCCGCTTACTGCCGTGCCCAAGCGAGCTGCCACCATGCCACCTTGAGGTTCTCCGCAACCGCGGTTCCGCGTCCTGCGCCATCCGTGCTGTCGTTGCCGTTGTCGTCTTCGTGGAAGTTCTCGGAGGTCGATTCTGTCCCGCAGAGTCGGTGTAATACGCCGTGCGCGCGCGTCTCAGGCCGGTGAGGTCTGGCGCATCAGCCTGGGTATGGGAGGTCGTTGCCGCTGCTTCCGTGGTGGTGCGTCTTCGTCGCGGGCGGTGGTCGTGCTTCTCGTGCGCAGAAGAGCTGTGGTGGTGATGATGGTGGTGATGTCTGCCAGTGTCTCTCGCCATTTCACCAGCGCTCTTCTACCTGCGACCAACGTCAAGATACGGGCAAGGCTCGATCCTCCAGCCGAGCGCTGAGCTGTTCCAGCTGCTGGGTGACGTTCTGCGCCTCGTCGGCGGGCCGCGGTGGTGGTGCTCAGGCGGGCGGTCAGCTCAAGCAGCACCACCGAAACCACCCAGTCGTGACTAGGCGTTAGGCAGTGCGCAGTTCCTCCCTGCGTGCCTGCCTGAGGGTCAGAAGACCAATGCGCGCAGATGGTTCAAGTCGGCGTCGGAGTCGTCGAGGGCGTCAGGCTGCAGCCCCCCAAGCAATGGCAGAGGCCCTTGATTTGACTGTTCGTCGGCCAGGCCCGTGTTTACCGCGCCCGCGCACAGCCGATCGCCGGCTGTGGTCACTACGTGGCTCGCGTCTCCAAGTGCGTCATTGTCGCAGCGAGCGCGCACGCTCATGGTGAGAGGTTAGAATTCTGGCGTCTCGAGAAAGTCGGGACGGCGGGCTCTTGCAAGCGCCAATTCGCTGCTTGCCCGTCCACGCTTCTCTTGCTTCGAAATGCGTGTCGTGACTTCGCCCACCTCAGCATCCCCACATGGACACGCCCACTCAACGCCCCGTTCGCCCAACGCATTATAAGCTTTGAAAGTTGCTTCGAACGCCAACCAAATGTCAGCCCTCGGGCATGTAGTACGTCCCACCGAACTCCCTGATTTCCAACCTGATCCTAACTTTCAAACCAGGCTCAGTGGTAGAGCGCCCGCTTTGCATCATCTGCCGAATGCGGGAGGTCTAGGGTGTAAGTTCGAATCCGAGCGCCTCCAAACTGGTGCATAGACTCATTCGATTATAGTCGATCCCCTACCTGTCCACAGACTGTTCAATCTTTTTGCCCACCCACCGTCTTCGATTGGCTGTGGGCAAACCGCTTTTTATTTTTGCTGTCTTTGCTGCCATCGCGGCTCAACACGCTGTTCCAACGTTTACAACTGACAATGGGTCTTTCGGCCAGAGCATCGAGTAGCGTATCGTCACGTTGCACGTATGGCGATGCTCGTTTATTTTGTCGGCGGCCTCGTGCTGTCAGCGTCTTTACCCAACTGGGCACGGACACATGCCAAGATGCTCCTCTCTTGCCTCCAACAAGCACACAAAAAAGCCATATCCACCTGCACAGTGCACCTTCCTCGCCAACAGTTTAACGTGTCCACCACCATCTCGTCCAAAAATTGAGCATCCACCCAGAACCGCTGCTTAAGTCTGTGCCACCTTCCTTCGCCAAAATAGCCGCAGCCCTGAACCGAGGTTTGGCCACTCGCACGGTCCATCCCTCGGATCGCCCCGCACACGTTCCCGACGGCAGAAAAGCCTCTCCCGGCGAATTTTCCAGCGCAAAAAGATCCAACCACTAGCCAAAGGCTCAACGAGCAAAAAGAATGTCTCCGCTCCCAGAATCGAACTAGGGACCTTTCGATGGCATTGAATTCCATTACAGTCGAACGTGATAAACCAACTACACCA